TGACAGCTAGCAGTGCTGAGAGAGGTAAGTTAATTATTTATTTGTTCTTGGCAAAAATTCCAGGTTGTTTTATAGCTTTGTTTGTTTGTTATAGTTTCTCGGTCCCCTGAGAATAATATGGTGATATTATTCTATGCACACCCAATAGTGTAACAGCCTTGGCGCACACCATACAGTAAAATCTGATGAGTCAGTGGTGAAGTGTAGATGGTGGACAGTATGGCCCCAACACTGAGCCCCGCGGCACACCATACAGCAAATCTGATGAGTCAGTGGTGAAGTGTAGATGGTGGACAGAATGGGTCCCAACACTGAGCCTTGCGGCACACCATACAGCAAATCTGATGAGTGAGTCAGTGGTGAAGTGTAGATGGTGAACAGAATGGGTCCCAACACTGAGCCCTGCGGCACACCATACAGTAAATCTGATGAGCTCAGTGGTGACGGTAGATGGTGAACAGAATGGGTCCCAACACTGAGCCTTGCGGCACACCATACAGCAAATCTGATGAGTCAGTGGTGAAGTGTAGATGGTGAACAGAATGGGGTCCCAACACTGAGCCTTGCTGGCACACCATACAGCAAATCTGATGAGTCAGTGGTGAAGTGTAGATGGTGAACAGAATGGGTCCCAACACTGAGCCTTATGCACACACCATACAGTAAATCTGATGAGTCAGTGGTGAAGTGTAGATGGTGAACAGAATGGGTCCCAACACTGAGCCTTATGGCGGCACCACATACAGCAAATCTGATGAGTCCAGTGGTGAAGTGTAGATGGTGAACAGAATGGGCCCCAACACTGAGCCTTGCGGCACACCATACAGCAAATCTGATGAGTCAGTGGTGAAGTGTAGATGGTGAACAGAATGGGCCCCAACACTGAGCCCTGCGGCACACCATACAGCAAATCTGATAAGTCAGTGGTGAAGTGTAGATGGTGAACAGAATGGGCCCCAACACTGAGCCTTGCGGCACACCATACAGCAAATCTGATGACTCGGAGGAATGACCATCAATGACAACACGTTGTCGTCTGTCAGTCATATATGAATCAAACCAACCCAGAGCTTGTCCAGGGATCCCTATTCTGGTTTGCAAGATGTCAAGCAGCATGCGATGATCAATGGTGTCAAATGCAACTGACAGGTCTAAACTGACAAGAACGGCTCCTCCGGTCAAACCCACTGCTTCCAGGATGTCACTTTGAGAAGGGCAGTTTCTGTTCTGTGATATTCACGGTATGCTGATTGCAGTGGTTCAAGATGGCTGTGAATAGTGAGGTGTTCTTGCAGCAACCACACGTTCAAGGACTTTGGACATAAAAGATAAATTAGAGACTGGGCGATAGTTTGACAGAGGTTCCTGATCAAGGCCTGGTTTCTTAAGAAGAGGTGTAATGATGGCTTCTTTGAGTGACACAGGAACACACCCTTCACTGAGCGATGCATTAACTATGTGAGTCATTATAGGGACAATGGTGCTGATGCACTTCTTGATGATTGGATTTTCAGGATCTTAGTCGAAAAGAGTTTGAAAATTGGTCACACAGATTTGCTAGAGATGAGTGTGATGGAAGGGATTTAGTCTTTCGCTTGTAGAGTAGTTTGTTTGCTACTTTGAACACAGCTTTCTGTCCAGATACATTTTCCAAAACACTATTGAAATATTCACGTTTAGAGAATTCCACTAAGGCTGTGACATGAAGTCTATAGGAGTTGTGAATTTCTTTATCAACAGCAAGACCTGTCTTCCGCATCCTTTTCTCCAACTGAAGATGTTTACGTTTTGCTTTTCTAATGTCATCATTGTACCACTCAGCGTTGTTGTGGACAGTTATGGTGCATGTTTTCTCAGGGGCATGTATCTCAACTGCTGCTTGTGCACATTCATTATAAACATCAACAGATTCTGAAGACGATGAATTGCTCAGCTTTGAGTTTATTGAAGAAAAGTGTGAACTGAAATACTCGATATCAATATCTTTCCATTGTCTATAGACCGCCTCCGTGGTGTAGTGGTTAGAGCGTCAGCCCGGAGAGCGGAAGGTCGCGGGTTCGATCCCCAACCACGCCATACCAAAAGACGTTAAAATATGGTACTTGTTGGTCCCTGCCTGGCGCTCGGCATTAATGGGTACAACAAGGACTGGTCGGCTTGGAGTCAGTATAATGTGTCTGAGTGGGGTATTCATGCTTCACTGCGGCATGGTATCTCAGTGGGCTAGCACTATAAAACCAGCTTAAGTCTGGGCTAGTACAAGCAGCCGCACATGCACATACACACGCATGCACATCGTCATATGAGCGAAATATTCTCAAGTACGATGTTAAACCCAAATTCACCTCACCTCACCATTGTCTATAAGTAATTGTTTTACATTCACGTTTAGGTGAAGAAATGTTGATGTTGTAAAGTACAACAAAGTGATCAGATTGTACAGACTGTACTCACGTTCAGCTCGTCATGTCTGGTGATGACTAAGTCCAGAGTATGGCCGCCTGAGTGGTTGGGTCTGTGATGTGTTGGAGCAGGTTGTGGGTGTCTACAAGCTCTAGGAACTTGGCAGCATCCTTGTTCTGAGAATTTTCAACGTGTTAGTTAAAATCTCCACAGAGCACAAGTTTTCCACTTATGGTTGTCAGAGAATTCAGACATTCAGAGAATTCATCAAAGAAGATGTTGGTTCTTCTTGGTGGTCTGTAAACTGTGAGCAGGTTTAAGACTTCCGCATCCAACTTCATCTGTAATCAGATGGTTTCATAGGTAGTATTTGAGTTAGTAACAATAAGATCCGAACATGTGAAGCTGTTTCGATAAACAACTGCTGTTCCTCCCCCCTTTTTTCCTTTCCGTGTGATTTGTGCCAATTTGTAACCATTTGGTGTCAGTTTACTTATTGTAATATGGTCGGAGCCGTGATCTCTTAGCCATGTTTCGGTAAGTGCCAAAATGTCAAGATTATGTTGAAGGATAAGATCGTGGATGTCCTGTGCCTTGTCGTTTGTGGTGACATGTGTCTTGACTGACCTGGCATTCAACATGCACAATCGTAGGTTGGTGTTTTTTAACGTTGGAACATTAGATTTCTGTTGTTCTTTAACATGATGCTTTTTGGTGTTCTTGCCTTCTCGATATCCTCTTCGGGTTCTCTTCACTTTGCAAATACCTAAATGTCTCAGTTCATTTAGTGTTGACAAAGGTATTTTTGTAGAGTATTCATTGTTAAAGAGGAGCGATGGGGAGAGTGTCAATGAAGTCCACAAAACTTGTAAAACTGCCATTAAATAATTCAATGATCAAGACAAAGCTTATGACAATGATTGCATAATTCACTGAGTCCATGGCCCTCTGAGGTGGAGTGAGAAACAAAGGAATTTCTCAGGCTCAGGGTTGTGTTAATCAACTGGCTTGGGTAGTGAACACCATGTAGAGCAAATCTGCAGTGATAATTACACAAAATGTTTGCATAAATCTGCTATTTTAATGAAAAGTATAGCTCCAAATGCTGCCAAATTTGAGGAAACACTTCTTGACATATTCATATATGTTCACAGCAGAACTTGTTGTACTTTACTTGATATCAACAATAGGTTACTTTTCCATCAGAGCTCAAACGAGGTGCAGCCTATCTGGACGCTACTCTCCCTTATCATTTTATGATCATTCCTCAGTAATTTGTTTTAGGAATGGAATTTACTTCAGCAGATGTGTAGTTGTTTGTCGAGTTGAACTTACTGATGTTTTTCTTATGATCTTTTAGATTTTAACGATCATATGACCTTCACCCTTTGACTTAAAGCTATCAGCTATTGTAAACCAAAAGTCACTGTGTTCTTTTATCTGATTGGTTGAAAAACATGATTGAATGGTATTCGATTCCTGGAAATTCGCTGCGTATTAATACGTACAAACATCGCTCACACCATTGTATTGTTACGTCGTCAGCTGTGATGACGTCATTCAAATCATATTGTGACGTAAATTCTGAATGATGTCACAAATGAGCAGTTCCAGATGCTACCATGGGAGACAGCCGAAACGGACGGCTGATGACATTTCACTGCTGTACCCGTACTCGATGTCAATGAGTACAGACACAAAAACGTGTGTGGACCATTTTGGTTTACTTTTGTGTTTACAATGTCGATAAACATCAAGGAGACCATTGTATAAAGCGCACATAAAGTGTCCCCATTGTGTATGTCTGTATGCCAGTGGTTTGCAGATCAATAAAATTATATATAGCCTTAATGTGGAATGTTTAAGTGAAGTACTGCAACAAAGTTTTGCGAACATAATGATAAAGGTAATAGTATAACATGATTTTCATGATCAGTGTTGTTTGCTTCAACAGAATGCACTTCAATGCAGTATGTCATTATTGTTACTGTATGTCAGTGATTCATTCAGATTCAACTCCAACATAAACATGTGTTAACATGAACTATTGCTAAATGAAACAAAAACATGATTTAGGTGGACTATTTGAGCTTAAAATCTCATGTGACCTCCATTAACTAAGATCCTTTACTAGAATGTCATTATGTACAGTCCTAATTTTTTTATAAGATCTGGGCCTTTATGATGAATTGATAACATATGTCCAATTGTGAAACAAGCAAAAATAACAATATAATGTGAAATGGTCACTCAGAGCCAGAGGCTCTACTAAGTCCTAATTAATTCCTCCAAAATGGCACATATGAAACCATTCAAACCCACAAAACAACTTTGGCACCTTTGGATCCACTTATACAGATGCTTCCTCTTGTAAACTGTTACATGAAACCAACAGAAAGAATATATTTGCCACTTTGAGAGCACATTTTGTTGCTATGGAAATCAAGGGCAGGTCATTCAAGGGAGCTAACTCTGGATGGGCCAGCATATTGCAGAATCTGAAGCATATCACGACTGGTATAAACCGGTTTACCAGCGGTGTCTGCCATTACACATAATACAAACATCTTACACAAATTAATTATTTCATGTTTCAGGTTTGTCAACAGGAGAGATTAGTGGTATTGCTGTTGCTTGTGTCTTTGTCTTCTGCGTCATCCTGTCGGGCATGGTGTGTTGTTACAGGTAGGCAGTTACAGATCTAGCTGGTGGCTGGCCGAAAGATATTCAGAATCTATTTGGCAGTCCTAGTTTTAATCCAATGAAAATTGACAGATCATCGTTTTTCTGCTTCTGAGCCTCACACACACCTGACGGTGAAGCTCTCATCATGGGCAATTGCGGTCAATAGCTCTGTTGTCATAGATTCTGTTTGTGTTATCCTACCTGTGTGTTGGACTAGAAGCTATAGATATCAGCACAACTCATCTGTGGAATAATGATCCCAGGGGTGGAAATAACTTTAAAATTGCTAGTGTACTCCGGTACAGTGGCACACGTAAAATCACTTGCCCTGATAATTTTTCCACTATACCGGCCGTTTTCTTGTTGATTTTTTTAAAGAAACAACATAATTAACATTGGAAATCAACTGGACACCGGTACAGTGTGATATACAAATTTGCCAGCCCGACAGAAAAAACCACTGGACTCGGACGTCGGGCAGTGGGTTATTTCCACCCCTGGATCCTATTCATATCAGACATTCTGATGATTTTGAAACTTTTATAACAATGAAAACAGTAAGGCGTTTGATTTTTCTGGTGCTCTGTACCTATACCATCCTCGATAATCTCCAGGGTATACGTTACAATCACTCTCCACTATACCCTGGATGCATCCACGGCTTGGCTGATGATTTTATTACCTCCCTTGGCTGTCTTTTTTTTATCCATTTAGGTGTCTACGCTGGGAAGTTGAGCAAACCAATCACAACTCACTTTCGCTTCTTAAATTATCTAACTGTTTAAACTTGGCAACACAATTGATGCAGAGGTACTCTGAAAGAGGGAGAAGGAGTTCTTTATATATTTTTTGAAAGTTTCAGATCTGTCAATTTGTCTGTATTATTTCCTCAAAAATATGAGTGGCACTGCGAACAAACCTTCGCGACTGTGATCGCTAGCTGATTGGCTACTGTGAGAATGCGGAGCCAGCCGAGGGAGGTAATGAGATCATCGGGCCAAGCCGTGGATGCATCCAGGGTATAGTGGAGAGTGATCGTAACGTATACCCTGGAGATTATCGAGGATGTACCTTTACAGATTTACGTTATTGTATGAATTCACCTTGTTGTTCGCCTGCAGTGCTTTGATCATGTACCATGTATATGGACGCTAGTGCAGTGTGCATGCACATTATCGTATTAATAAGTCAATGCATCATTTTGTAGATATTCCTGCAAAAAGTGGAAGGAGAAAGAGGAGATAACTCTTCCTGCCCTTCCAGTGAGTATTCTTATCAGTTTTAAGACTTTTTAGGAATTTCTATAGTCTGCTTGGGTTCAATTGAGAATGATGAATGCTTAAATATCTCGAAATAGGGATAAGTGCACAAAACAAAAATGTGACACATGGTCCTGAAACCTCTGTACCCAACAGGATCTGAAATCTGACGTTTTATGATCGATTGCAGAAAAAGTGGTTTAAGAAACCATCATGTAAAATTGTGCTATTTTCACGCTTCCCACCGAGAGGTGACAAACGACTGGTTGAACAGCAGCAGCACACATTCAGGTGCAGCTCAGCACAGCCAGGTGAGATGACCCCAGCTGTTCCATCAGCTGTTTGTCACCACCTGGTGTGAAGCGTGAAAATAGCACAATATTACATGATAGTTTCTTAAACAAATTTTTCCGTGATCGATCAAAAAATGTCTGATTTCAGCTCCTGTTGGGTACAGAGGTTTTAGGACCTTGTGTCTTATTTAGGTTTTGTGCACTTCTCTCAATTTCGAGTTATTCAATCATTTGTCGTTCTCATTTGAACCCAAACGAACTATGTGTTACCCAGATCAGCATCATTAGACCTGAATCATAGGGGACACATACTAAGGGTCTACCCATCAGTCAGCAGTATTCCCCACACAATCTGCTTGTGAAACAAGATCCAGGGATATTTTATCAGCTCACTAATAGGAGCTGCTAGATAGATCATAATTGTTCTAAGGAAGGAAAAGGAAAAACTGCGTGAAGATGATGCTATGGTGTCAACTTCTGACATCGGTTGCCATGGACCTATCTCACCTAAATTTCCCTCAGCTTGTCTCTGCTTACCATCAGAATACGTTCTGGTGTCCTTCCCAATGATGTAGCTGGAATATTGCTAAAAGTGGCGTAAAACCAAACTCAGTCAGTCAGTCAGAATACGTTGCTGTAGACATATTCAAATTTTTATTCTTGATGGGTGTTTGTTGTATGGAAATATGACTGGGTGATCAGGAGCGATGACCTGGTTTTCATCAAATCCTAACGAGACATTGATAATGGTACAATCACTTGATTCACCATTGGTTATTTAACCCTTATTTGATCTGGCCAGAATGTCGCTGACAGCGTCCTGAACAGCATTCACTCAGTCTGTATAAACGTAACTACTTCATTTTTTCTGTTACAGAACTTCTCTGCATATTCAGCCACAACTGTCAGGACAATTGCAGTCATGCCGCTGTCAGACACAAAATGTGTAGAGAGACCCAAGCAGGTGAGAACACATTTTCTGTATAGCCCTTTTGTTTGTCTTGGAAACTGCATGCCATCTTGGTAATCTTACTCTGCTTCTACTTACCCTGGATCATCTTACCCTGCTTCAACTTACCCTGGATCTTCTTACCCTGCTTCAACTTACCCTGGATCATCTTACCCTGCTTCAACTCACCCAGGGTGATCTTACTCTGCTTCAATTTACCCAGGGTCATCTTACTCTGTTTCAATTTACCCTGGATCATCTTACCCTGCTTTAATTTACCCTGGGTCATGTAACCCTGCTTTAATTTACCCAGGGTCATCTTACCCTGCTTCAATTTACCGTGGGTCATCTTACCCTGCTTCAATTTACCCTGGGTCATCTAACCCTGCTTTTATTTACCCTGGGTCATCTTACCCTGCTTCGGGTTCGAATCCCCACATGGGTACAATGTGTGAAGCCAATTTCTGGTGTCCCCCGCCGTGATGTTGCTGGAATATTGCTAAAAATGGCGTAAAACAAAACTCAGTCAGTCAGTCAGTCTTAGCTTTAATTTACAACCCTCTTTACCCTGGGTTTAACCCTTTACCCTGGGTCATCTAACCCTGCTTTAATTTACCCTGGGTCATTTACCCTGCTTCAATTTACCTGGGTCATCTTACCCTGCTTCAACTTTACCCTGGGTCATCTTACCCTGCTTTAACTTCCCAGGGTGATCCTACCCTGCTTCAACTGGGTCATCTCTTACCCTGCTTCCCTGGGTCAATTTACCATGGGGCTTTGACTTACCAAGGGTGATCTTACTCTGCTTCAATTTACCCTGGGTCATCTTACCCTGCTTTAATTTACCCGGGGTCATCTTACCCTGCTTTAATTTACCCAGGGTCATCTTACCCTGCTTCAATTTACCCTGGGTCATCTAACCCTGCCTTAATTTACCTTGATCATCTTACCCTGCTTTAATTTACCCGGGGTCATCTTACCCTGCTTTAATTTACCCAGGGTCATCTTACCCTGCTTCAATTTACCCTGGGTCATCTTACCCTGCTTCACTTTACCCTGGGTCAATTAAACATGGGGCTTTGACTTACCCAGGGTGATCTTACCCTGCTTCAATTTACCCTGGGTCATCTTACCCTGCTTTAATTTACCCTGGGTCAATTTACCATGGGGCTTTGACTTACCCAGGGTGATCTTACCCTGCTTTAATTTACCCTGGATTATCTTACCCTGCTATACTTTACCCAGGGTGATCTTACCCTGCTTCAATTTACCCTGGGTCATCTTACCCTGCTTTAATTTACCCTGGGTCAATTTACCATGGGGCTTTGACTTACCCAGGGTGATCTTACCCTGCTTTAATTTACCCTGGATTATCTTACCCTGCTATACTTTACCCAGGGTCATCTTACCCTGCTTCAATTTACCCTGGGTCATCTTACCCTGCCTTAATTTACCTTGATCATCTTACCCTGCTTTAATTTACCCTGCTTCAACTCACCTAGACTCATCTTACCCTGCTTCAACTTACCCTGGGTCATCTTACCCTGCTTCAACTTTCCCTGGGTCATCTTACCCTGCTTCAACTTACCCAGAGTCATCTTACCCTGCTTCGACTTACTCAGGGTCATCTAACCCTGCTTCAACTCACCCAGGGTCATCTTACCCTGCTTAAATTTACCCTGGGTTGTCTTACTCTGCTTCAATTTACCCAGGGTCATCTTACTCTGCTTCAACTCACCCAGCGTCATCTTACCCTGCTTCACTTTACCCTGGGTGATCTTACCCTGCTTCACGTTACCCTGGGTGATCTTACCCAGCTTCAATTTACCCTGGGTCATCTTACCCTGTTTTTACTTACCCAAGGTCATCTTACTCTGCTTCAACTTACCCAGGGTCATCTTACCCTGCTTTAATTTACCCTGGGTCATCTTATCCTGCTTCAACTCACCCAGGGTCATCTTACCCTGCTTCAACTCACCCAGGGTCATCTTACTCTGCTTCAACTTACCCTGGGTCATCTTTCTCTGCTTCAATTTACCCAGGGTCATCTTACTCTGCTTCAACTTACCCTGGGTCATCTTACCCTGCTTCAATTTACCCAGGGTCATCTTACTCTGCTTCAATTTACCCTGGGTCATATTATCCTGCTTCAACTCACCCTGGGTCATCTTACCCTGCTTCAACTCACCCAGGGTCATCTTACTTTGCTTTAACTTACCCTGGGTCATCATACCCTGCTTCAACTCACCCAGGGTCATCTTACCCTGCTTCAACTCACCCAGGGTCATCTTACTCTGCTTCAACTTACCCTGGGTCATCTTTCTCTGCTTCAATTTACCCAGGGTCATCTTACTCTGCTTCAACTTACCCTGGGTCATCTTACCCTGCTTCAATTTACCCAGGGTCATCTTACTCTGCTTCAATTTACCCTGGGTCATCTTATCCTGCTTCAACTCACCCTGGGTCATCTTACCCTGCTTCAACCCACCCAGGGTCATCTTACTTTGCTTCAACTTACCATGGGTCATCATACCCTGCTTCAACTTACCCAGGGTCATCTTACCCTGCTTCAATTTACCCTGGGTGATCTTACCCTGCTTCAATTTACCCTGGGTGATCTTAACCCGCTTCAATTTACCCTGGGTCATCTCACCCTGCTTCAACTTACCCAGGGTCATCTTACCCTGCTTCAATTTACCCTGGGTCATCTTACCCTCATTCAACTCACCCAGGGTCATCTTACTCTGCTTCAACTCACCCAGGGTGATCTTACCCTGCTTCAACTCACCCAGGGTCATCTTACTCTGCTTCAACTTTCCTTGGGTCGTCTTACCCTGCTTCAACTTACCCAGGGTCATCTTACCCTGCTTCAACTCTCCCAGGGTCATCTTACTCTGCTTCAACTTACCCTGGATCATCATACTCTGCTTCAACTTACCCTGGGTACCCTGGGTCATCTTACTCTGCTACTTCAATCATCTTTCTCTGCTTCAACTTACCCTGGGTCATCTTACTCTACTTCAATTTACCCTGGGTCATCTGACCCTGCTTCAACTCACCCAGGGTCATCTTACTCTGCTTCAATTTACCCTGGTGTATCTTACCCTGCTTTAACTTACCCTGGGTCATCTTACCCAGCTTGAACTTACCCTGGGTTATCTTACTCTGCTTCAACTCGCCCTGGGTCATGTTACCCTGCTTCAACTTACCCTGAGTGATCTTACCCTGCTTCAACTCACCCAGGGTGATCTTACACTGCTTTAATTTACCCTGGGTCATCTTTCGCTGCTTCACTTTACCCTGGGTGATCTCTGAAATGTATCTGTATGCTGCTCCACTACTACAGTCAAACACTTGTTGGTCTGTGATATGTATCTGTATCCTGCTCCACTACTACAGTCAAACACTTGTTGGTCTGTGATTTGTGTCTGTATCCTGCTCCATTACTACAGTCAAACACTTGTTGGTCTGTGATATGTATCTGTGTCCTGCTCCACTACTACAGTCAAACACTTGTTGGTCTGTGATATGTATCTGTATCCTGCTCCACTACTACAGTCAAACACATGTTGGTCTGTGATATGTATCTGTGTCCTGCTCCACTACTACAGTCAAACACATGTTGGTCTGTGATATGTGTCTGTATCCTGCTCCACTACTACAGTAAAAAACACATGTTGGTCTGTGATATGTATCTGTATCCTGCTCCACTACTACAGTAAAACACATGTTGGTCTGTGATATGTATCTGTATCCTGCTCCACTACTACAGTCAAACACATGTTGGTCTGTGATATGTATCTGTATCCTGCTCCACTACTACAGTCAAACACATGTTGGTCTGTGATATGTATCTGTATCCTGCTCCACTACTACAGTCAAACACTTGTTGGTCTGTGATATGTATCTGTATCCTGCTCCACTACTACAGTCAAACACTTGTTGGTCTGTGATATGTAGCTGTATCCTGCTCCACTACTACAGTAAAAAACACATGTTGGTCTGTGATATGTATCTGTATCCTGCTCCACTACTACAGTCAAACACTTGTTGGTCTGTGATATGTATCTGTATCCTGCTCCACTACTACAGTCAAACACTTGTTGGTCTGTGATATGTATCTGTATCCTGCTCCACTACTACAGTCAAACACTTGTTGGTCTGTGATATGTATCTGTATCCTGCTCCACTACTACAGTCAAACACATGTTGGTCTGTGATATGTATCTGTATCCTGCTCCACTACTACAGTCAAACACATGTTGGTCTGTGATATGTATCTGTATCCTGCTCCACTACTACAGTCAAACACTTGTTGGTCTGTGATATGTATCTGTATCCTGCTCCACTACTACAGTCAAACACATGTTGGTCTGTGATATGTATCTGTATCCTGCTCCACTACTACAGTCAAACACATGTTGGTCTGTGATATGTATCTGTATCCTGCTCCACTACTACAGTCAAACAGATGTTGGTCTGTGATATGTAGCTGTATCCTGCTCCACTACTACAGTCAAACACATGTTGGTCTGTGATATGTATCTGTATCCTGCTCCACTACTACAGTCAAACATATGTTGGTCTGTGATATGTATCTGTATCCTGCTCCACTACTACAGTCAAACACATGTTGGTCTGTGATATGTAGCTGTATCCTGCTCCACTACTACAGTCAAACACATGTTGGTCTGTGATATGTATCTGTATCCTGCTCCACTACTACAGTCAAACACATGTTGGTCTGTGATATGTATCTGTATCCTGCTCCACTACTACAGTCAAACACATGTTGGTCTGTGATATGTATCTGTATCCTGCTCCACTACTACAGTCAAACACTTGTTGGTCTGTGATATGTGTCTGTATCCTGCTCCACTACTACAGTCAAACACTTGTTGGTCTGTGATATGTATCTGTATCCTGCTCCACTACTACAGTCAAACACATGTTGGTCTGTGATATGTATCTGTATCCTGCTCCACTACTACAGTAAAAAACACATGTTGGTCTGT